GAAGCGGAGGTCGTGCCACTGCACTCCAACCTGGCGACAGTGAGACTCCATCTCAAAAAAAAAAAAAAAACAAAGAACAAGAAAATGACAAACTCTAGGAAAAATGAAAAGTGTATAAGAAAAAAATACAACTATATTACAGTACTTAGCTCTGCAGAGAATAGCATTTCCCTGGTCACAGGACATAAATGTTGATTATGATGCAATTAAAAATAGTGATGTACCATACAGCGTAGCAGGAAAGGAGCTGGTGGGTGGTATAACAGCTAACTTCTCATCTAGCTTAGCAGACATTAGATAACACTAGACCTTGAAAGCTCTATGAATAGCTTCCCTGGCTTCCTCTTTCTTTCTTTTCTTTTCTTTTTTTCTTTGAGACAGGTCTCACTCTGGTTTCCCAGGCCGGAGTGCAGTGGTACGATCTTGGTTCACTGTAGCCTTGACCTCCTGGGCTCAGGTGATTCTCCCACCTCAGCCTCCCAAGTAGCAGGGACTACAGGCACACACCACCACGTCCGACTAACTTTTTGTCTTTTTAGGAGAGACAGGGTTTTGCTGTGTTGCCCAGGCTGGTCTTGAACACTCGGAGTCTCAATCCACCTGCCTCAGCCTCCCAGAGTGCTAGGATTACAGGCATGAGCCACAGCACCAGGCCAAGCCTCCTCTTTCAGGATTTGGACATAATGTGCGGAAACTTGTGGATGTCTCTGAGGTGTGCAGGGAACAGAAAGATTCAATGGTGTTTGATTTGGTCACCATGTATCTCTTTAATGTAAAAAGGGATCATTCAGGACCAGTGAGGTCATGGTGGTGTTTGCTGGAAAGAGCCCAGGGACCCAGGTGGCTCTTGGCTCCATCACCTACAGCCCCATGCCCTTGAATGAGTCTCTCTCCAGCTTTTGACACCAGTTGACCAACCTCTAAAACAAATTATTTTGACTTGTCCTTGGAGCCCTGCGAGTCTGTCTCACCGTGGAGTGACTTGGGAGTCTGGACACCACCCACGCTGACTCCACGTCTAATACCGTGCACGCCTCAAGCACAGTGCCTGGCTCAGCACAGGCAGCAGGAAAGCTGTGTGGGTGTGCACTGGGGTTGGCGGACACCATAGACAGCCTTCGCTCTCCCAAGATGGGGGAGGTCCTGAACCATGACTTAGGGAACTGCTCGTGCCTAAGCCCCCATCCCCTCCACAGTAGTGCAGAAAGGATGCTCTCCTAATCAGCTAATTTTCACAAAATGTGGGATGCCCTGGTGGGATCCCCTGGTAGGAGAGTAGATGATTTCCAGGAGCACATAGAGGGGGCAGAAGCTGCCGGCTGACTCTTGATACCCCTCATCCCCTTCATTTAACATTAGAAATCCCAAAGTTTAGCTGCCCAGACCAAAACTGAATTTCCCATCCTGCCTTGCAGCTGGTGTGTACCTTCCCAGTGCACCCTTAAATGCATGGGTATGCCCCACTTTCCCTTCTCCTCTTCCCTCCTGCCTGATGTGACTTGCACCTCCTTGGACCAACTGGACAAGAAAAGCCTCCGTCAATGACAGAGCCTAAGATGGGCGGGTCGAGGCTCAGCCCCGGGAGCCGCCCAACCAGCCCGGGACCCCCGACGCGGAGGCTGTCACATGGGAGAGAAGCAAACCTCTGGCTCATGAAGTCATGGGTATTTGGGGGTCTGATGAATTTACTTACAAATAAATATGGGAAGTATATTTTTATATCAATAGTTATTTATGCACTTTAATATCCATTAGATAAAAATATCTCAACTAGGCCGGGGACGGTGGCTCACGCCTGTAATCCCAGCACTTTGGGAGGCTGAGGCGGGTGGATCACGAGGTCAGGAGATTGAGACCATCCTGACTAACACGGTGAAACCCCATCTCTACTAAAAATACAAAAAATTAGCCATGCGTGGTGGCAGGTGCCTGTAGTCCCAGCTACTAGGGAGGCTGAGGCAGGAGAATGGCGTGAACCCCGGAGGTGGAGGTTGCAGTGAGCTGATCGCACCACTGCACTCCAGCCTGGGCGACAGAACGAGATTCTGTCTAAAAAAACAGAAAAATCTCAGCTAGTGGAATCACTTCTGCGATACTACTAGGTGAACCCACCAGCAATCCTGGGGACGCTGAGGATCCTCCTCAGTGCATGGCCCTCTTGACTGTTGGGGGAGCCAGCATGAAGCCCCCATGGCCGCCTGGCTGGCCCGAGCTCCTGGACTCAGCCTTGACTGACACTGACTCTGTTCCCACAGCGGCCGCTTTGTCTGTCTCCTTTGTGGACACTTAGCTCAGCGCCTGTGCTGCTCGGCTGTGACCTGACCTCCGAGGGTCACCCCCTGAATTTGCTCGCTGTGGCCTGCACTGCAGACCCCGTCAGGAAGCTCCTGGTCTCCCCTCTGCCCCTCCCCCACCTCATTCTCACAAAAGGTCTCATTGTTCTGCAGGGTCTGATTCAGACCTGCCCTGGTTTCGGTTTCCGCAATCGCCCAGCACTGGCTTTGGGTCAGGGGTCACTCTGGAGTGAACGGGGCGCCCTGAGCAATCCCACATCGCTGCGTGATCCTGGCTCAGCCACAGGAAGCCCCGGCCCAGGGACCCAAATGGGGCCCAGAAGTGGACCAGATGCAGCGGGGATGGTGATGTGGGGACACCAGCATCTCCAACAGTGGAAAAGAGGAAACCTACTTTGCATTAAGCCCGTCCTCTTCTCCCCCAGGGTTAGGGGGACACAGTGTCTTCACTGACCATGTTGGAACGTTCTGGGAAGTGAAGGGAACATCCCTAAGACGCGGTGACTTGACCTTCGCTTTGGCTGAGATTTGAAATTCTCTTCCTATCGACCTTTAAATCTGTACACACAGGAGTCTGTTTTACATCCAGCCGTCCCTGTGACCCCAGGCAGGTTCCCTACCTTGTGTTTCCTCATCTGTAAAGTGGGAATAATGACCGCACGGCCTCGCGTGCTTGTCAGAACCAAATCAGACAAGGCACGAAGACCCATCGGCCCGGAAAGCCGCAGCTGGGCCCTGACGATGCCACGCTATCCATCTGGGGAGGGGAAGTTCATTGCTAATTCTACTCAAAGGAGGAAAAATGCACGTCCCCCTGAGCTGAAAGAGGGAAGCCAGGTCCACCAGGCCACCGGGTCTCCTTCGGCTGAGGAAATGGACAATGAGGGCGACATCGAAACTGCAGAGAGCAGCAAAGCCCTTCACTGCTGCTGCCCGGACCCCACAGCAGCTCCTGCGGCACCACAGGTCACTGGGCCAGAAGCCAGTTAGGTAACAGCCACTCCCAGGCGCTGATCCCCGGAATGGTGGGTTTGCTACCAGCAGCCACACAGACACCTCGCCTCATGCCAGGCTGCTGAGCTCAGCTGGGGGCGGGGGGGGGCACGATTGCCCAAGCAGGGGTGGGGCAGGGCAAGGCAGACCCAGTCACATGGTGGGAAAAGCCAAAACAAAACTGCCTCATTTGGTAAAATGCCTGAAAACTGCCTGAATTGGGCATTTTAAAGGTAGTTTTTAAGGTGTAGCCATTTGGTTTTTGTTGTTGTTTTTGCCTTGTACTCTCCTGTCTTCCTCCTCGTCACACAATAAACTGTCTCCAAGGCAGCCGCCCTCCCCCGGCCCGTGCCCCAGCAGGACGTGCGAGGCAGGGAGGTCAGGAGCTCTGCTGTGAGGGCACCACCGGCTTCCGGTTTGTGCATGAAAACCCGGCTCAGCTTTTCCACTCCATGAAGACTGGGCTTCTCCAGGCTGCTCGGTAAATAATCACGGATTCCACTGGCAAGAGGAAACGTCCCCACAGCCCCTCCTCCATAGTGCACCCAACCTCCAGGTGTTTTCAATCTCAAAGAGCCCCGACTCCTGAAATTTTACAACCTAAATCTTAGTTTTCATTTCCTGAGGCTCTCCTGGTGGAATCGGCAGCCTGGCAGTGTGCAGCACCTAGGGCGGCTCACGATGAAAACTCCAGAGGGGACTCTGCCTGCCTGCATGTCCCTTTGTCACCAGAACCCGGGGACCAGCAGGACCCAAAGCTCCGTGCGGGATCAGCTGGGTCTGGGAATCACTGCCCTGGGCCCAGGTGGACTTTTCGGATGAGGCTGGTGTTTGGCCAGCACCTGGGCTGGGCAGGTGGGAAGGACAGAGGCGCTGAGGGAGAGAGGGAGGGGAAAGGGATTCACAGCGGTCCTGGGGGAGCCCCATGGGTGCCTTTGGCCTCTGGCTGCTCTGCCTGCCCCTCAAGCTGGTTAAATTCCCCCCTGAAAGTTCCCCATTGGGCAAGTCCAGCAAGCCTGGGCCAGGCCCGTGACCTCAAGGTGGGTGGAGCTCTAGAAGGCCTGGCCCTCACTCCTAGAGTCCACATTCACCCTCAAGGCACTGAACGGCGCCCCACTGTGCATCTACTCACTAACCAGGCACGGGATGGTTTCCATGGTTCCTGTGTCTTAGACCAGCTCTCTCACGGTGACATGAGATGCCCTGAGACCCCGCCATGGTGCGGAGTGACATTAATGCATTAAATTAGCAGCCTCTGCAACACAAACACATTTCCTTGTGGAGGCTGTGACGTTCTTTGGTAAAAGGGATCATTACATGTTTGCAAACATTCCATGCAGCTGAGGAAGGGCCTCAGGTTCTGACAAGTGATAAATGGGAAAATTAGAGGCTTTGGGAAAATGTAAATATCATCCTTTGTAAGTCTGTCCCTTGGCAGGAAATAAAAAAAGGTTTCCCCAAAGCACCAAGGCATTCCTTCTATTAAGCACCAGGAAGAATGGCTGTGACTCTTTCAGGCACTTGCACGGGTCTTGATTTGTCTTCCACAGTCTCCCCAGTGCCCTGGCAACGTGTGGGAGAGAAGCCTGTGATTTCAGTGGACTGTCCTCTAGTTCGGCGTTTCTCACCTTTAATTCCTGATCACCCCCTAAGGAACCTTTATAGAGGTTTTTTTCCTTACTCATCCCCGCCATGAATTTAATACTACAGAAATACTGCAAAATGGTTTATGCACTGTGCATACATCTGTATTTTTACATAATGAGAGAAAAATCTTTTCACCTCCGGGAACCAGCGCTGGCCCCCTTGGGAGCAGTATTCCCCGCGGAGGATGGATGTTCTCATTCCTTCTTTTGTTCATTTGTTCAAATGTGCAGAAAACGTGTGCATCTGGTGCAAACTCTGGGCCCTGGAAGGAGGTGTGGGAGCTGCCTGGGGCCTGGGGGCAGAGCGATGCAGGAGAGGGGACAGCGAGGACAGAGTCCAGAGACGCGAGGGGAGGGATGAGGCTGAGAAGCAGCCAGGAGCCCTGTGTGGCTGGGGCCAGGGGGTGTTAGAAGATGAGGCCAGAGGGGTGATGGGTCACAGTGGGGCAGAGAGAGAGACGGGTCATCTCAGGCCTTAGGTGACCCTGTGAAGACTTCAGCTTTTACCCTCAGGGAAGTGGGAGCCATTGGAGGGCTCGAGGGGAGACAGGACGTGGTCTGGCTTCCTTTGTAATGGGATTCTCTGAGGACAGGTTGGGGATGTGGGGCAACAGCTGGAGCAGCAAGACCAACAGGGAGGCCAGGTGGAGGTGATGGTGACCGGAGCCATGCCGTCAAAGTGGAGGAGGTGAGGGAGTCCAGTACTGCAGATCTCTTGCCGGTAGAGCTGCCAGGACTTGCTGGTGGATGAGAAGCGGAGTGTGGAAGGCAGGGAAGAGTGGAGAATGACTCCCAGGTGTTGGCCTGAGAGCTGGGAGGGTGGAGCCGCCATTTACAGAGATGGGGAAGACTGCGGGAGGACTCTGCTCTGACAAGGCCCTCTGCTGACTCTGAGAGACACAGGAGAGCAGGACAGAGCGGATGAGGGTGACTCTTAGTAGATTTATTACATTCTCCCTGAAGATCCAAGTACATAATTTTCAGAGCCTGTGCAAAATGAAAATATAGGCCACATGCTCAAAAGCAGGAACAAAATGTCATTATAGGTGCTAAAATAAGAAAGCTTTTGCTTTCTTTCTGCAGTCTCTCTCTTGACCTGTCGTGGTGTTTGTTATTTGCTACTCAATGTTGCATTCCCTCGGATATGAGGATGTTCGTAGAGTAGCTCAGACCCCCACAGTCAGGCCCTTTCAGGGGCAGAAGGTGAAAGCAGTCGCCAGCAGGGTTATTCTCCTGAGCAGCATCTCCAGGGTGGCACCTTCTCAGTAGCCTTTTCCGAAGGAATGAGTTAGGATGACAGTTGTCACAACTTCAATGAAAAGCAGCCGATGCAGTGGGAGATGGGGGAATGAACCATCGGTGTTGGGAACATGAGACACCTGGGGAAGATCAAGGGTTAGCAGATCCTTTATATGGGCTCAGCCTTTCTACAACCTGCAGCAAGGCTCAGCCCCCACCATGGTGGCCCCACCCCCACCATGGCCCCTCTCCATGGTGGCCCCACCTTCATTCTGGCCACACCCCCATCCTGGCCACACCCCTGCATGACTCTGCCCCCTGCCTTGCTTTGGCCCTGCCCCTAACAAAACTGTGTCCCTCTCCCCGCTCCCCGAAATCTGGTCACACCTCCAGGCTGTCAGGCATCACTGTGGCTAGGGTAGACCCTGACAGCTTTCGGGAGTGAATCTCCTCTTTCCGTGCAGATGAAACCTGCCCAGGCAGGAATTCTTGCATTTCTGCCCCAGCCCAGCCGCCTCCTTTCTTAACACCCTGGAGGCCTCCTCGTAGTGTATTTGGGACAGATGGGCTCCGAATCACTCAACAGATACCTACTGAGATCTGCTCTGTACCCAAGCTCCAGGTCTTGGCCCCAGCGGTGAAGGAAGCGGGCAAAGCCCCCTCCCTCTGAGGTGACGTGTCCAGGGCTGGTCACAGGGACTCCAGGGCCACGAGCACATGGGTGACTACTCTGCGGATTATCCCACCCCAGTTGTAAGCTCCTGGGGCAGCTCCCGGCTTTCTGGGTGGTTTCTGCCCCTGTGGGGCGATTTACAACCCAAGTCCAGAGAGCAAGAGGTCGATGGGAAGCCTGGCCCGTCCCTGTCTCAGGGAGGCAGGAACTGCTTAGAGATCCGTGCACATGGGACCAGTGGCTCCGACAAAGCCTTGGCCAAACTCTGTTTCCTGATCCTTTTCCTCACCCGGTCGCCTCCTTCCTGCAGCATCTGCAGACGCTCAGCCCCAGGAGATGCGAGCTGCTCGGGGACCGCCCTGAGTTTCTGAGAGTCCCGGAGGCGATGGCCCCTGGGTCCTGTGCAGATGGCACTGGGGAGCCTCGAAGGCTTCGACTCGGGCTGAGCGTGGAGGTGGGCGCGGGAGATGCTCAGTCCTGACCCCGCCACCGCGGCCCGGGGAACGTTAGACAGGGGCTGTGTCCCCTCAGAAAGAGACAGCAGGTTCGGCCATGTGCACACGCCGAGAAGAGATGGTCCAGCCGCCACCAAGTGGAACCCTGAGCCTGGAGGGACGTCCCTGCCCCTTCCACTCAGCCTGGCCAGTCCTGTCTGCGGGTTTCCATTGTCAGCCGTGAAGGGGCATTGAGATTCACAGGTGGGGTTAAGCGGAGTGAGAAAGGGCTTGTTAAGCTGGTTAATTCTGGACGCCCCGGGAATCTGAAGATGGAATTGTGAAACATTCATGGATTTGCCCCAGTATTCCAGCCAAGCACATGTGTGTGTTGTTGTGTGTGTGGGGGGGTGGGGGTATGAGTGGATGTGTGTGTTGGTACTGGGGTTGATGATATATAGTTCGCTGACGTGGGACTCTTGCCTCCCAACCTGATTTAACAGAGGTTGAGCCCACATGGCCTAGTGGTTAAGAACATAGTCTCTGGAGCTAAACTGCCCAGGCTCAAGTCCCAGCTCTGCCCCCTGAGCAAGTGCCTTGACCACTCTGCCTCAGCTTCCCCATTTTAGCATGGGGAGCTTAGTAATAGTGCCTCATCTCATGGGGTTGGTGTGAGGACTAAGTGGGATCATAGATACAGGGCACGGGGAATAGTGCCCAGTGTGTGCCAGCTCCCACCACTCTGCAAAGAGGACACGTCCTACCTCCCCGAAGCCAAGTCACACCCAACAGCTCCTGCATGGATGTGGGTAGAAAGAATCTGCTATTCCCCAGGGACCTCCATACACCTGAGGTCAGCCCGGCCTTCAGGGTTCATTCTCAGAATGAACTCAACTCCATTCATACCTAAAGGAATTCGAGCACTGACTGGGGATCTGCTGGGTCTTCACTGATGAGCACTCCAGAGGAGGCAATCTCAGGCCAAATGTCCCTTTCTGAGAATTTAGAGGGGGGTAGACTGGGGATGGTAACTGGGGACTTGAGCTTATCTTTAATGTCTTTGGTTTTCTTACAGGGAAATACATTTATATATTACTTGTGTCATGAAAATTAATTTTAATTTAAAAATCAATTTCATGCAATATAGATTTCGCCATAAAGTAACAGAATTTTTAATTTTTTGATTGAGATATTTGACAGTAGGCACTGCATCATCCTGAAAGAACCAACTTTACAGTAAACAAATTTTGGCACCTTCATAACAAGATCAGAAATAGCTGCAGTGCCTGCCCCTCCTGCTAACAGTTATGCAGGGCTTTGCTCCTACCAAAGCTTTGCCTCTGGTGACCTGTTTCCATCCTTGTGACAATGTGGCAAGGTTGGAAGAAGAGGATTATGATTGTTTCTCTTTTGCCAAAGAAGATGGAGTGACTTTCTCCCTGCACTGGGCCCCTGTTGGAAGATTACAGCAACAATTCACCAGGCCCTTCTTCACCCGACCCCAAATCTCGCAGCCCAGTAGCCCGTAGCCCCGACCCTGCCCCCAGCCCCAGCAGTGGGCTGTGATTGGCCTGATGCAGTCAGCTCTTCCCACTCTCTGACCTTGACTGATTCAAGAATGGACACCTGGCCCAGGTGGGCCAGTGAAAGGTAAGATGTTGCCTGGGCTCCTGGCTTTCCCATGGTTTCCTCTGGACAAAGTGGATGGGATGCAGCTCTTAGAACCACTGCAGACTTCTCTGCTACCACAAGAAAAGGCAGTCCGAAATCATGACCCATGAGAGAGGAAAGAACCAAGAGAACGTCAGGGAAACTGAACCACAACCTGATCCAATCATTCCTGATGCTGTTTACCTCTGGGATTTTTGAAGGCTTGAGCCCACGAATCTCCCTCCTGCTCACCTCTGTTTGCACTGAGTTTTCCATTCCCTGCAGCCATAGCTCTCTATTTGATTCTGACTCTCGTGTCACATGATAGTAAGGGGTAGATTATTAAACCGAGGCCTGCCCTGGCTGGCTGTTTGTGTGCAATACACACCTTCTCACAGCCAACCTGGTTCTTTACATGTAAACTTCAGAGTCAGACGAGAGACCCTAGAGGTCACCTAGTGAAGCCCCTTAGTGTAACCCCTGAGCAAAGCGAGGCCTGGGAAGAAGTCGTGAGCCCAGATCACAGGGATGGACTCTCTACCCCTGGTTGCTCCTGTTTTTAGGTTAACAAGATCTAAGAGACCACCTGTGACAAGACAACCTGAGCTTCGTCTGTCAATGCAAAGTCTGTGTCTGCACAGCCAAAATGAAGCAAAGTCTGTGTCTGCACAGCCAAAATGAAGTGGCAAATATCAGCCATTGCAGACCACTCAGTGAGAAAACCTCCTCTGTTCCAAATATCTGGATGCAGTCCCCACTGTAAATTGGAGAGTGACTTTACTATTTTGACTATCTGGTATTTTTGCTTTTCTCTGCTAAATTTGATGACTTTTTAAAAATTGTTTTTATTCGATCATATCACTTGGGTACAGATCTGCAGTGTTTTTCTAAGCACATATTTCCATACCAACAAAAAATCTTAAAAAGGAGCAGAAATGGAGAATGGATTAACTTACTTTTATTCTATCCTTACTCTCTATAGACTCTCTCATAAGGTTGGAGGTTTTGTTTTTCTTCTCTTCTAATTTCTATTACGATAAGGACACATGGACTGACATGCAATCTCCAGATTACCTGAAGCATGGCTGTGAGAGATGCATCCCAAACTGGGATTTCTCTGTGCATGGCCACGTTCAAGGGTGCAAAAGGCAGGAGCCACTCAGACAGCATAGCTTGGGAGGGCTTTGTGTCACTGTCCAAGTGAGATTTCTCTCTCTGAGTCTCACCTGGTTGAAAATGTTCATCACAGTAACAGCAGACCCTTCAAGTCTGTGTCACTCTTACAGCAAAGATAAGATGCTGTGTTGAATTTTCATGGCAAAAACAACTGCAATTTTAGGTCACTGTAAAACATCTTTTGTTTTGTGCTGAGCCATGGCGAGTGACAACTTACGCAATAAACGCTCAGCATCTGCCGTCCTTCCAAAGCCTCTTGCTTTTTTTTTTTTTTTTTTTTGAGACGGAGTCTCGCTCTGTCGCCCAGGCTGGAGTGCAGTGGCGTGATCTCAGCTCACTGCAACCTCCGCCTCCTTGGTTCACGCCATTCTCCTGCCTCAGCCTCCCGAGTAGCTGGGACTACAGGCGCCCGCCACCACACCTGGCTAATTTTTTGTATTTTCAGTAGAGATGGGGTTTCACCATGTTAGCCAGGATGGTCTCGTTCTCCTGACCTCGTGATCCACCTGCCTCGGCCTCCCAAAGTGCTGGGATTACAGGCGTGAGCCACCGCTCCCGGCCCCCCAAAGCCTCTTTCACATTCACTTACTTCCCTCAATCCATTTAGAACAGTGTCATACAAAAGTGATTTTCAGGTTGGGCATGGTGATTCACACCTGTAATCCCAGCACTTTGGGAGGCCGAATCAGGTGGATCACTTGAGGTCAGGAGTTCAAGACCAGCTTGCCCAACATTGTGAAACCCCATCTCTACAAAAATACACAAATTAGCCCGGTGTGTTAGTGGGCACCTGTAATCCCAGTTACTTGGGAGGCTGAGGTGGGAGAATCGCTTCAACCCAGGAGGTGGGGGTTGCAGTGAGCTGAGATCACACCACTGCTACACTGCACTCCAGGCTGGGTGACAGAGCAAGACTCCGCCTCAAAAAAAAAAAAAAAAAGTGATTTTCATCGTCCCCCTCAGAGATTATTGGAGGGGACAACATCTTATTAATTTTTTACAATCTTATAATCAATTTTTAATTAATGAGACAATGATGAAATACAGACTTTATGGAAAAAGAAAAATCACTCATGTAGTTGCAGCTACAGCCAATGTGTTTGAGACTGGGAGCTTTGGAATTGGGTATCTGTGTTCAAATCCTGACTCCACCATGTCCCTGCCATGTGACTCCGGGGACAGCACTCACCTGAGGACATCACTCATATGACAGTGTCACTTACCTGAGAGGCCACTATCTAGGGAGGTCACTGACCTTCTCTGAACCAGTTTTACTCAGTTTTAAGGATTATTATGAAGGTTCAAAGTCAAAATATATTATTAAGGTCTTGCTTCTTTCAGTGTGGTCTGCAAACCAGCAGCCTAGTCATCACGTAGAAGCTTGTTAAAAAATACAGAATTCCAGGGCCCACCCAGGTCCTACTGAATAGGAGTCTCAATTTTAACAAGCCCCCCAGGTGGTCTGTGAGCACATTAATGTGTGAGAAGCACTGTCTTCAAGCACGTGGATGCCGTTAGGTGCACAGCAGGGCCTCAACTTAGCTGCCTGATTGGTGTACATCTTATCACATTATACTATTTCTTACTTAACAAAATGCATTTCATGCTGTTTTACAGTTTTCACTTCAGTTCATACTACTTCCTGGTCTACATGGAGTTATTTTGAATGTCTGCGTAATAGTCTACTGAACCATTATCTCACGCTTTCTTCTCCTATTTCCCCATCTTGATGGTTCCCAGCATTTTGCTGTTAGAAAATAGCACTTTACTGAGGCAGGAGACTCTCTTGAACCCGGGAGGCAGAGGTTGCAGTGAACCAAGATTGCACCATTGCACTCTAGCCTGGGCAACAAGAGTGAAACTCCATCTCAAAAAAAGAAAGAAAGAAAGAAAGAAAGAAAGAAAGAAAGAAAGAAAGAAAGAAAGAAAGAAAGAAAGAAAGAAAGAAAGAAAGAAAGAAAGAAAGAAAGAAAAAATAGTACCTTAGTGAGCATCCTTTTATGTAGAGCTTTCCAGAGACAGGGAAGGAGAAGGGACAGGAAAAGAGAAAAAAGAAAAAAAAGAAAAGGAAAGCTTATATCTGTCTCTTTAAAGTCAGGAGTGTTGAACGTCCTCTTTGATCCCATTGTAAACTAAGGGAGAAAACCATGTCCCTGGCTGCATCCACTGGGCAGTGAAGGGGGCACAGAGACAGCGACCTCACTGAGTCACAGCACAGAGCTTCGGGGATGCAGGATGCGACCAGGGCAGAGGTATCAGCCACACCTCCATGGCACCCATGCCTCATAATCACCTTATGAAAAAATTATTTTGAAATTGGCTTACCTGCTCAGGAACTGAAACTGGAGAGAAACCCAGATTACGGGAGGACACTTGCATTGAAGGGCCTCCTCGTGAGCGGTCTCTGCACGTAGAAATCACCTTGCCGCTCAGGATTCAAAGCCCTGGCCTGGGACGTATTTCACAGGCTTGCAGGAGCAGACATTATGCATTAATGGGTGGCTCCATTGCAGGGAAACCTGGTGACAAGTGACTTCCTCGCCACACTTGGAACCGGAGCCCCGCCTAGCCTTTCCCATGGCCTGTCCAGAAAGTTAAAGGCAGGCAGCACTTGAGCTCTGGTCTTCCGTCCCCGCAGCCTTCACTGTCCCCCCACCACAGGTGCCTCTGACCCTGAGCCACTTCTCCAGTGGCCCGTCATAGCACTTCTCCCTCTCCAGAGCCATGGCCTGTTTTACATGAGATAAAAATCTGCAGACAAAAGCTCTTGCTGCCCAAAGCATGCGTTCTAGAACTCAAATAAATAAATGAGCAAGAAACTGAGCATGTGCAAGGGTAGCCATGCTGTGGGGAAAAGAAGGTGGAGGGAGGATAGTAAGGGGATCCCAGGCTCAGGGAGTAAGAGGGGTCAAGGGGATCAGGAAGAGTTGGGGGGGTCTTCATGCCTCAGAGCTGGGGGAGATTAGAGTGGGGATGAGGGGGGACTTGGGTCCTGGGCTTCCTGGCTGCTGACATGACCAGGGATAGAGGGGAGATAAGAACAGTCTGCCAGGTTCCAGGTAGGTGATGGCAGAGCCACGGCTGTGAGCAGACAAGGGAGCTGGGTTTTGCAGGAGCCCAGAGCTCTGGGCATCTCTTCCATCCCACCTCTGGGGCTGAGCCTGGAGGAGCCTGGAGGTTCCATGTTGTTGCTGTGGAATTTCAGGAACCACAAGGGCTGCCCAGGGGCCAACGCGTCTCCTATGACCTCCCCCTACCCAGCAGAGGGAGAACCTGGGACCCTCCTCTTTTGGAACACTCCTTCCAGAGGCAGCTGCAGGTGGATTCTCATCTGACAAGAGACAGCATCACTCAGAACTCCTAGAAAGGCCATTGATTAAATGCCACAGAGGACAGCAGTGATGAGGTCTGCGGAAGGCAGTGCAAAGCCAGAGGCAGGGCCAGGTGATGGATGGCCCCTGCTGTCAGAAACACCCCAGGCTCCACTGCTCCCTGCCCTTGGGCAGGTCACTCTGGAGTTTAAGAGTCATTAAAAGAAGCAGTTCCTTTTTATAACCAGTTCTCTTTTCTCTCTCAGGTGGTTCTGGAATAAAAACATCATGAAAGCGATGTCAGGTCACCAGGAAGAAGCCGCCGCAGGTGAATCTGGCTTCAGAGATGGGGACTCCTGAAGTGAAGCTGGAAGTGAAGGCTGCCTTTAGCTGGCTTGAAATGCAGGAGAGGAAAATACTGCACAGGCTGGTCTCCCTGTGCCTGGGGATGGAGAGGTCTCCTTCCCATCCAGGGCTACTCAGAGCCCTCATCAGGGTCCCTCAGTGACTCCATCAGGCCTGAGAACATCCTCTGGGATAGAGAGAGGAGAAAAAAACAGAGATTCATCCAAAGCTCTTTGGAATTTAATAATAAAGGAGATAATAAACAGGCAAGGGGGCCAGGCGCGGTGGCTCACGCCTGTAATCCCAGCACTTTGGGAGGCCGAGGCAGGAGGATCACTTGAGGCCAGGAGTTTGAGACCAGTCTGGGCAACATGGTGAAACCCCATCTCTACTAAAAACACACAAATCAGCCAGGTGTGGTGACGCAGGCCTGTAATCCCAGCTACTTGGAAGTCTGAGCCATGAGAATCACTTGAACCCAGGAACTGGAGGTTGCAGTGAGCTGAGATCACACCACTGCACTCCAGCCTGGGCAACAGAGTGAGTGAAACTCTATCTCAAAAACAAACAAATAAATAAATAAAATAAAATAAACAGCCAAGGGTTCCCGTGCCCCAAGAGGGCCAGTAAGTGGTCGTCATGCCCCCAGAAGGGCAGGCAGCACCGTGCCAGCCATAACATGGAGCACTGCTCCATTGACCAGACATAGAAACAGTGTCTGGCCATGCCACTGTCCGGTGGAAATCCTTGGAGTCTGTTTTCACTTCTTCCTGCTGGAATGGAAGTCCAGGGACACAGCCCAGCTTCCCCCAGGCAGGCGTTCTATTCTTCCCTTATTCCTTTTTTTTTTTTTTTTTTTTTTTTTTGTTAACATTATGATATGACTACTTGGGAAAGATGACTCACATTTACTTTGTTTTTAATTCATTTATTCAGACCCGTTTCACTTATGTATCCACAATTTTCTGAGCAAAATATTTATTTATTTATGGAGTGACTTCTCTGAGCACTGGAGCTGTGAGCAGACAGACCTGGCCTGGGCCCTCAGAGGGTGGGCATTCTGGTAAAGGAGGCACAATAAACAAGGAAATAAAAAAACAAGATTGGTGAAGAGGGTGAAACTGCTCTACAGGAAATGAAGTGGGAATTGAAAGAGCGAAGGGAAGAAAGGCCACATTGGATGGGGAGGTAAGGACGGCCTCTCTGAAGAGGTGAACTTTGAGCTCAGGCTGAGCACTGAGAAGATTCTAGCCCAGTAAAGGCCATCAGGAGAGCACGCCAGGTCAAGCGCACAGCAGGTGCCAAGGCCTGGCAGGCCTGGGCTGGACAAGTCCGGGGAACAGAGAGGACTCCAGGACTGGGGAGGTGGAGAAAGCACGTTGCAGGGATGCAGGAAGGGGTGCGGGGTATGGATCAGGCAGAGCCTTCTGGGACAGGGTGAGCCCCCCGGGGTTCACATGGGGAGCAGTGGGAAGTGATTGGAGGAGTTTATATGGTGGGGGCACAACACAGCTGGCGTGCATGTCTGGACAGCCACTGATTGGCTGCTGGGAAGGAATGGAGGGAATGGAGGATTAGGGCAAGAATGGAAACCGTGGGTCCAGGCTGAACCCAGACCTACAAGATGCGAGACCTCGTGCAAATGTATCTTTCCTGAGCCTCAGGTCCCCGTCTGTGAGTGAGGAAATCATGAGCCATCCTGAGGCTGTTCTGAGGATGTAATAATAAGGCACCCACAGCAGAGCCCAGCACACAACGATAACAAGCGAACCTTGACCTTCCTAGTCTCATGCCCGTGACCCAGGAGATAACTCAGACCAAAATAACGTGCCCTCGGGTTGCCTTATGGGTGTGCTTGTGTAGACCTGGCCCATTGATCCGTCCTTCATTCATTCTGTCTCGACTATTAGGGTTTCTTCAGGTGCTGAGAACGTGCCCCTGGTATTGGGACTGCAAACTGTAATTGACGTCTCACCTGGGAAAGGCAGGGCAGCTCATTAAAGTGACTCAACCCACAGCAGAGCTGTTAGGGAATTTGATGGTGAGGCCTGGGAGCAAACACCTGCCTTGCTAGTTCAACAAGAATCCAGGAAATCATCTTAAAACACAGGCCGGGCACAGTGGCTCACGCCTGAAATCCCAGCACTTTGAGAGGCCATAGGCGGGCAAATCACGAGGTCAGGAGTTTGAGACCAGCCTGGCCAACATGGTGAATCCCCATCTCTGCTAAGAAAATACAAAAATTAGCTGAGCGTGGTGGTGCACGCCTGTAATCCCAGCTACTCAAAAGGCTGATGCAGGAGAATCGCTTGAACCCAGGAGGCCGAGGTTGCAGTGAGTTGAGATCATGCCACTGCACTCCAGCCTGGGCGACAGGAAGAAAAAAAAAACCCATACCTTCCTTTGCTCAAGCAATGGCTTGACGATGGCTCCTTTGAGCTCCAACACCCCATTCTGGGTTTAATTGAAACTGACACACCTTGGCAAGGATGTCCAGTGGCATCCGCCTGTGGAAGGAATTGAAATGACACCATGAGGCAGCAGACGCAGAAATCCTGGATGTGGGGCATCCCACAGAGCAACTGCTCCCAGGAATTCAACAAGCAGTGGCATTAAAAGTAAAATGAAGGAGAGGGGATCACTGTCAACCGAAGAGAAGTTAGAGATTAACAACCAAATGCCATGTGGTCCTTGTTGAATTTCTGGAAAAGCAACCAGAAAAAAAAATCTGTGCAACACCTGGGGGAATTTGAACATTAGACTTGATTAGGATATTGCAACTTTGTTAGAAAATGTCCAATTGAAGGCCAGGCACAGTGGCTCACGCCTGTAATCCCAGCACTTTGGGAAGCTGAGGCGGGTGGATCACCTGAGGTCAGGAGTTTGAGACCAGCCTGGCCAACATGGTAACTCCGTCTCCACTAAAAATACAAAAATTAGCCGGGCGTGGTGGTGCCTGTAATCCCAGCTACTCGGGAGGCTGAGGCAGGAGAATTGCTTGAACCTGGGAGGCAGAGGCTACAGTGAGCCGAGATCGCGCCACTGCACTCCAGCCTGGGCAACAGAGTAAGACTCCACCTTAAACAAACAAAAAAAGTCGGCTGGGCACGGTGGCTCACGCCTGCAACCCCAGCACTTTGGGAGGCCGAGGCAGGTGGATCACGAGGTCAGGAGATCAAGACCATCCTGGCTAACATGGTGAAACCCTGTCTCTACTAAAAATACAAAAAAAATTAGCTGGGCATGGTGGCAGGCACCTGTAGTCCCAGCTACATGGGAGGCTGAGGCCGGAGAATGGCGTGAACCCAAGAGGCGGAGCTTGCAGTGAGCCGAGATCAAGTCAGTGCATTCCAGCATGGGCAACAGGCGACAGAACGAGACTCCATCTCAAAAAAAAAAGAAAGAAAAAGGAAAAAAGAAAATGTCCACTTGAGGTCTGGGATTTGCTTTAAAATAACTTGGCAGAAAGAGGAGAAAGAGCTGGAAGGAAGGGGGCAAACCCTGAGAGCTGTTGAACCTGGGTGATGGGTAGATGATGATTCACTGTATGCCTCCGGTTGAAATATCTATAGTGATTGTTTAATTGTGCTCAGTCTATTTTTAAAGATTGGAGTTTTCTTGAGAAAGTGTTGCAGAATATTGCAGAACACCGCCCAGGAATTGTCATTGTATCATTTTTGCTCCTGCCCCTGTAGCCCGGCATGAACAGGGCATTTCACGTGGACATGAGGCTGGGACTGTAAAATATTACCAACTCTTCTGCAGATGCGGTTCTCTCTGCAACCCCCCGCCAAGTCCTGGATGCCAGGATGGGATTTTATTTGCACGCCATCTGAAGCTACCAGCTTGCTCACTACACAAGTCGACAGACTGACGTGACTCTATGCAGCGCTGAGCACAACAGCCGGGGCCTGTCAACCAGCTCGCCAGTGAAGAGCCAGGGGTATTTTCAAGCAGAAATAATGGGCCACCGTGACTTTTTAAAGAGATATGATTTATCTCTGGGACCGCATCCAGGCTAGAGCTGCTGGAGGACAATGACAGGCTCCTGGGCCAGCGAGGAGGCTTTCATACCTCGGCTTGTCTGCAGATGGAGGACAGCGGGGGCTTCTCAGGGCGAGGCACCCAGGAGTTGCGGTGATCAGCAGGGGACACAGAAAAGCAGCCAACTCTGCACCCTGAGGAGGGTGGAGATTTGGAGAATTTCTAATGAATTTGAACCACATGACGGTTCCTTGGAGGAACTGGGAGTCCAGGTGGGATCTTTGCAGGCAGGGTCATGTGGTTTGGTCGCCTTCATTACTCAAAAGCAGGAATCTGTGTTTGGGAAGATGTGAATTATGTACTTTTGATTGAAAACAGCTGCACACCCACAAATCCCTTTAGCCAGTTAATTGGACCATGACAGGCACTCCAGATGTCTACCCACATGCCCTTTTCTTACCAGCAGGACCCTGACGATCACACGCTCCCTGGATGGTGCCCAGCTCCCTGGCCACTCAGCCTGTGTGACACAGCTCTAGCCCAGTGGAGGGGGAGAACAGGCAGCTGCTAGGGATTCTGGGAAAGTATGGTCTCTTATGTAAGCCCCTTCCTGCTCTCACCTCCTCCTTCCTCCTCTCCCATCTGGAGGCAGACAGGAGGCCGAGCGTGGCAGCACCAGCAACCACAGGAGGCCTTGAGGTAAAGGCACCAGCTGAAGATGGCGGCAGAAAGGCAGAAGGAGCCAGGCCCTGGGTGGTATCCTGCGGCCCCACACCTGCCCTGGCCCCTCTGCCCCTGGACCTGTGAATCTGGAATAAGGCAACTTCCCCCCGGAGATGCCACCGCGCCTGGGCTTCTGTAGCTTTGAGCTGAGCACAGCCCTGGGTGATGGAGAGAGACAGTAGTGGTCACCCTACCCAGCAACCACCTGCACAGGTATAAATTCCAGGTCAGCTGAAGCCCTCAAAGCTAAATCCAGAATTTATGAACCTTCTTCCACACCAACCACATCATCCTATGCCTTCAAGATTCTTTGCATGTGTGGCTGGGCTGTCCTGCGAGTGCCGTTAGAGGAGGGAACAGGTCTTGTTGCCTCCTCCTGCCCCCGCTTCCCCTTCCGCATGACAGAACCTGGTGAGCATGTGAGGACTCACCCTCCCCGCCCAATCCATGTGTCTGGGGTGAGCTGACCCTGAACCTCAGGTCCCAGGGTGGACACGGGAGCTGGACCTAGCCTAGCCAGCACCACTTGCCCTGGACAACGATGGGCTCAGCGAAGGAGGGACCTAAGCTGACCGTTCGGGGTGACTCTCATGGGCCTTTGTGGGATCCACTCTTGTCCCTGGATTTGAACCTGAGAGTGTGAGGCGAGAGCTTCGGTGGGCAGCTGGCACCAGGCAGGGGCACCTGGAGCTGCTGGGCCTCCTCCTGGCAGCGGGTGGACACGTGGAGGCCAGAGACTTGGGGGGACAGTGTCCAGGGGTCAGACCCAGCTTGCCTGAAGATCGAGCATGAGTGCTGAAGCCTATTAATGCACTCTCAGCTAAGCCACCGGAGCCATCAGGTCTTTTGTCACTTATCCCCGAGAGAATCCTGCAGCTATTAGGGCTGAAACTTCACCGGCCCCTTGGGAAACCTCCAGCCTGCCCAGAAACCAAGAGAACATTTCCGCCTGCTGAGTTTCCCACCACGACCGTCCTCTGTGGGCCTCGCCCACCTCCTCGTGGGGCCATTTCCTTTGGATGAATTCACTGGGCTGTCGGGGAACCGCAGCTGGGGTAGGCTTTGCTCACTTCCGGGTGGGAGAACACATTTTGGTCTGTTTTAACACCTAAGTGACACACGTATGCCCTGCGTAAGGCAGAAATGGAAAGTTCCTATGTGCGGAGATCATCGTAGGCATCTTTGTTTCCGAGGTTTTGCTCAAAGAAAACAAACGTGCAGCCAGAGCTCCTTGCTGGGAGGTCAGACTCTACTGCTGCAGCTGCTCCAAGGGCTGACGTCCCTCATCCCGGGCCCAGGTTCCCTCGGTGGCCTGACGGCTCAGTCTCTCCTAAGGGCCTCTCCCCTCCCCCTGCTGACTCCGCTCCCCACCACCAAAGGCTCTGGCCTCCTGCGAACTTTGTTTCTGGGGATCAAAAAGGCCTCGAGGATCTTGCAGCTCTGTCTGCAGAGGCTGAAGGAGCAGCGATGTCAGTGGCTGTTTGCTAAACTACAACCAGCCACTTCCTTGAAGGGGGTAAAATACTGTGAGCCCCGAGAGAAAGTCCACTCACGGAGGTTCCAAAAGCAGAGAGGCCAAATGCCTCTGAAACACGAACCCACCAAACAACCTTCACAAACCATGAGTGTCAGGTCACGACCACAGGCGGGGCTGGCCGGGGGTGGCTGTTCCTAACAGCCTCTTTGTGTTTCTGTCCATGAAAAGACTCCACGACGGCCCCGTGGCTACTTCTGCGCTTCCTTTCTTCTCTGCTTCCTGGAGGCCCCGTCCACTTCCTGTCCTTGTGGTCGGATACCCTTCCCAATTCCATGCTTCCGCCGGACCAGGGCTTCCCAGCCTTCCTGGGAGTGGGCTATAAAGCAGCACATTCCTCTCTTTTCTGTATGTCTGAGGTTTTCTGAGCCCTGTAGTTTTTAGCTGCCCAAAGATGACATGTCTCCCCAAACTTGAGGCCTGATCCTCCCACCAAAGACGCTCTATCCTATTACCTGCCCTCTTTTCATGTTGGCATTTACTATTTTCTGGAATTGTCTCGTTTAGTAACTTATTTACCTCCTTTAGTGTCTGACTCCCCAGACTAAACGTGAGCTCTGTGTGGTCTGAGGCTACATCTGTCTAATTCTCTTGTGTTTCCCTGGAGCCCGCAGCCATAGAGGGTGCCTGATAGGAGCTCAATCAATGTGAGGTGAAGAGGTGAATGAAGGAAGGATGGAAAGAATGAGTGAAGGCCTCTTGGTCACAGTTCCCCTTATTGTTGCTCTCTTTTTCTTGCTAGTGCCTGTCTCCAACTTGACGTCTTCTGGACTCAGAACTTTTTTTTTTTTTTTTTTTTTTTTTTTTTTTTTTTTTTTTTTTGGAGACGGAGTCATGCTCTGTCGCCCAGGCTGGAGTGCAGTGGCCAGATCTCAGCTCACTGCAAGCTCCGCCTCCCGGGTTCACGCCATTCTCCTGCCTCAGCCTCCCGAGTAGCTGGGACTACAGGCGCCCACAACCGCGCCCGGCTAATTTTTTATATTTTTAGTAGAGACGGGGTTTCACCGTGGTCCCGATCTCCTGACCTTGTGATCCGCCCGCCTCGGCCTCCCAAAGTGCTGGGATTACAGGCGTGAGCCACCGCGCCCGGCCTGGACTCAGAACTTTATAGGTCTGTCTCGTGTTGTTGAGTACAACTTTCTGCACATGGTGAAAATGTTCTGTGTCTGCACTGTCCAGTATGGCAGCCAATAGCCACATGTGACTATGGAGCGCTCAAAATGTGGCTAGTGTGATGGAGGAAGTGAATTTTTAAAGCTATTAAGTTTTAATTGATATAAACTGAAATAACCCCAGGTGCCCAGTGGCTACCATGGAGGACAGCGCAGGTCTTGATCTTCAATGTCATTTCGAGCTGTAACCTTTGAACCTCATCCTGCAGTCTGCCTACATCTGGCCCATCCAGACTCCTGGCTCTCACCCCACCATCAACCAGAGGGTCACAACCTCCTGCTAGTTCAGGGGCCCACAGGGATTGGACCGGGTCTCAATTTGATTAGAGCACCTGAGGCCATTTCAGTCTAGTCTTAGGTCAAAGGTTTCCCAACAATACAGGACAAATATGAATCTCCTCCTACAGCCTAGGCTCCCCCATAGCAGACCTCCAAAAGCCCTAAAAGTCACTGAGACAAAAGGGGGGAACTGTCATCTATCGGGCAGCACTCTTTTTTTTTTTTTTTTTTTTTTTTTTTTGAGATGGAGTCTCTGTCACCAGACTGGAGTACAGTGGCACAATCTCGGCTCACTGCAAGCTCTATCGGGCAGCGCTCTTAATCACAAAGGACAGAACACCCACTCAAACTCAAATGAGCCAAAACATGAATATCTTCACTCCAGAAACTTAATGGCCCAACAGTATCTGACTACAGGCACAGCTGGATCTTGGTGCAAAATGACGTCATCAGGAAGGGATCTTTTCCATTTCTCAGGCTGGTATCCTCCTGGGTGGTCTTCCTTCTGGGTCACACAGTTCTCATGAGGTGGCAAAGATGCCCCAGCAGATCCTGATCATCCCATCAGCCCAGCAAGGACAGTAGAAAAGAGAAGCCCTTCCCCAGTTCCCCAGCAGAAGTCCAGGGACTGACTCAGATCAGACAAGCTGGACTCACGAACCCACCTCCTGATGCCATCACTGAGTATGTTTGATTGGCTGGGTCTGGGTCATTTGCCAGTCTTGGAGCTGGGGAGCTGGGGGATTAAGAGTTGGGGAAGGAGGCCAGGCACAGTGGCTCATGCCTGTAATCCCAGCACTTTGGGAGGCCGAGGTGGGCAAATTGCTTGAGCCCAGGAGTTTGAGACCAGCCTGAGTAACATGGCGAAACCCAAATTAGCCAGGCATGGTGGTGCACACTTGAAATCCCAGTTACTAGAGAGGCGGGGGTGAGAGGATTGCTTGGCCCTGGGAGGTGGAGGTTACAGTGAGCCCTGATCAAGCTACTGCACTTCAGCCTGGGTGACACAGTGAGACCTTGTCTCAAAAAAAACAAACAAACAGAGTGGAGGAAGTTTGTTTCTCACAAAGGGAAGCCCGCTAAGAACTAGCAAAACAGAGAGAAACCGTCCAGGTAGGTGAAACCCAGAGATGCCCCTTCAGGGTGTTCAGAAGACCCCAGCCCCATGTGATGCATGCTGCTCTCTCCTGCCTGCAGTGTCACGAGAACTGGGTCTGGTCAAGTGGAGCCCCGAAGGAGATGACATGTCCCCACCACAGGTGAACACAGCCCCATGCACCACGTCCATGTCCCAGGAGAACCTGCAAATGGATGGTCTGTGCCAGGGTTGAAAGTCTTGTTTGATTAAAAACTGCTGTCCACTCCTCTACGCATTCTAGATTGATCAATATCATATTCCCAGTACCCCCAGCCTTCCCACCAAAATAGATTTAACCTAGAAAGAGAAGTGAGTTGCAGAAAATTAATCATTTTTTTAACCTCAAAGGACGCCAACGTGATGAATTTAAGCTTTGATTGGGGAACTTAGAGTCACAGAAATGGCCAAGTGGAGCCTGGAAACGTGAGTTCAGGTGGCCTGTTGTCCACAGTGGCATCAAGAGGGTCCAGGAGATTGTGTCATTTCTTCTCCCTTGCCTCAGTTCCCTTATCTGTAGAAGGGGGATGATGTGGTAACAGCAGTGCCTACCACACAGGGTTGTTGCAAGAATTAAGTGAGTGTATATGCTCGGCACATAGGAAGAATTAGCTACTATTTATGGAGCCTGAATGGCAATTAAACAACATTAATAACATGCATGTACAAACACATCTGCACACACACACCCACACACTGCAGACTTCCGCCAGGCGGGCCATCACCATGCTCTTCCTTAGGCCACTCCCTGACTTCTACCTAGGAGTGGGCCAGCAACTTAACATGGTCACTTCTCTTTGTACAATTCTCTGAGTTGGCCAAGCACCTTGACACATGTCACCTTGTCTTTGAGCCCCAGCAGTCGTGAGTGATGGATACTGGAGTACTGGTTCATGCCACAAAGGAAAAAACCTTGACCCAGAGAGGAGGCATCTCTCCCAAAGTCAGGTGCCTGGGAATAGCTGTATCAGGACTTGAGCCCAGGACTCGGATGCCAGGCTCACCCTCGGAGTCCTCAGCATCATGTACAGCCAGCACCTGTGGGCTGGGTACCCACTATAGGTGCTGGGGACACAGGTTCATAAGTCAGGTCGGTCCCTGATTTTCCTTGAGCTCACAACAGGCAAGGAGGGGGAGAGATGTTCCCCAAGTCAACACATGCTCAAGTTCATTTCAGATGGTGGTGAGTGATCCTGAGAAGAGGAAACGGGGTGACATGCTAGAAAGTGCCTTGGTGGAGGGGACTCCTGGGGACAGGGTGGTCAGGGAGGTGCTCACCCAGGAGGTGACACCTGGCAGAGCCCTGAAAGGTGAGAAGGGGCAGCCATGCACAGGGCTGGGGACAGCATCCAGCAGGAGCACAGTCGGTCACACAGGGTCCCTGGGTCGGGAATGAACCTGGTTGTTTGTGACACAGAAGGAAGGTCAGCGAGTCTAGGAGAAGAGGAGGAGGAGTGGGCAGGCCCCCGGCGCCTGCACGTCTGGAAGCATCGCCAAGTTTCCAAGCATCTTTCCAGGGCAGAGAAGCCTCCCCTCTGGGCAGGAGGGGCTTGCTTCATGAGCAGGAGGGGTGGGGGAGCAGGAGGGAGCCCTGATGTCCCGGCTGCAAGTCCAGGGCTGGAAAACCAGGTGGGCCTCTGCAGAGGCTGCTCCCTCCCCATCCGGTCTCTGCAATCTGGTTGGGGTATCTCAGACTGAGGAGCAGGAAGTGTGACTGTCACAGGCCAATGTCTGCTGACAAATCTCCCAGCCCAGGTGGTGGCCTGCAGTGGGCTTCCCAGTGCAAAGGGAGGCGGCTTTGGCAAGGGGGTTCCCTCCCCTTTCAATTGCCTGCTGGTTCTGCCCATGTGAAACTGAGCTGGTTGGCTGGGCTTCCTTGACTCTATTTGGTTTTCTTACTCTCTGAATAAAAGATGAAAAGTCAAAACATATGCATAATGCAGAATTATAACACTTGGATTTGTTTAACTTTATCCCTGCCGTTTCTCGAGTATTCTTGCACTTAAAGCACCCATTGTATAGGATAAGACATGCTTTGGAGAAAGTGATGTGACTCCCGCTTCCAGGAGTGGAAGGCATTTTTAACTCAGCTGTTCACAGTGTGAGTCTGTGTATGCGTGTATAGGTGAATGTCATGTCTATGTATGAGTACTGACCGTGTCTTTTATTTTCAGTATTCTGATGCTCTGACATTTCCAGGCCTTGCCGACCCTGGACAGCATGCTCTTCCCATGCTTGCCAATTCCTAAGAGACAGGAAGCAACTCACCTGGAGCATGTCTTGCAAATGAAAAACCAGATCAAGAGCCCACACCCCAACCACTTCTTTCATTGGGCTCTCCCTCTCCAGGGCCAGGTACCAGACAACTAGGACAGCCCCTGTGTCCCAGAGCCTGGTGGAATGACTCAACTAACCACCCTAAGCCTGGTGACTCTGCCCGCCCATTCATTCCTCAATAAAGTCTCTTACTTATGTCTCACTTCCTCCCTCTTCCTCTTGAAAGAAAGTGTTCCCCGTGTGGCCCTGCAGAGCACGATTCCCCAGGTTCCCCGGTCCCCCGTGTGGCCCTGCAGAGCACGGTTCCCCGGGTTCCCCGGTCCCCCGTGTGGCCCTGCAGAGCACAATTCCCCGGGTTCCCGGGTTTCCCGTGTGGCCCTGCAGAGCACGATTCCCAGGGTTCCCCGGTCCTCCATGTGGCCCTGCAGAGCACGGTTCCCTGGGTTCCCCGGTTCCCCGTATGGCCCTGCAGAGCACGGTTCCCCGGGTTCCCGGTCCCCCGCGTGGCCCTGCAGAGCACGGTTCCCCGGGTTCCCCGGTCCCCCGTGTGGCCCTGCAGAGCACGGTTCCCTGGGTTCCCCGGTCCCCCGTGTGGCCCTGCAGAGCACGGTTCCCTGGGTTCCCCGGTCCCCCGTGTGGCCCTGCAGAGCACGGTTCCCTGGGTTCCCCGGTCCCCCGTGTGGCCCTGCAGAGCATGCCGTGTCTCCCGCTTCTTGGGACCTAGAGTGTAATGAATGTCTTCCCACATGACAGTCCTTTCTGTGTCTGGGGATCTTACCTACCTGATTAAAGCAAATCCCTGATGAATAGAGTGAGTCTGTGTCCCATTCTGCAGGCATGCACACAACAAATACACACGTATTCACAGAGTCCCTTATGTGTGCTCAGACATGTGAACTTTGCATCACAAAACCACCGAGTGATGTCAGAGGTGCCATGAATCATAATGACAGCTCCTGGCCTGGTATCCAAGAGACCTCAACATGCTGCTAAGTCACTGTCCCCCACTATGAGAACCGGTCACTCTCTTTGAGCCTCCAGTTGAAGGGGACTAAATTAATCTAGGATGACCCATATTGTGCCGCAGCTAATGACCCAGTTCACCTCTTGTTAATTTTCTGCTTCTGGGTGTCCTGGGAACGGGTGGTGTTTACTCCGGTTGGGACAAACCTTTATTAATGAGCCGGAGTGTTGGCTGCCCTGGGCTGAGTGTTTTAATAGAAATCAGCCCATGGGCCAGGGCCTGCTGAAGTTGCAGAATATGAATAAGGCCCTTTTCTTTACCCTCTCTCCTCTGTCTTGATTTGCATGACTAAGCTTTTATGCCTTTAAAAAAAAATGTGTTTGTTTGTTTCTTGATTGTCGCTCCGTCTCCTATGGAGGAAACAAATTACTTACTCACCAGGCAGGGACCTCAATTTGGCAGAAGTCCAGGTCTGTTCCTCCAGCAAAGGGGAGTGAGACAGCCACACTCAGCTAGTAGGACTATTTCAGGAGAGCTGATGTGGCCCAGGATGTGGGCTAAATGATTACACAGGTCTCCTGCAGACACTTTAAGAGGGAGCATTTTCCCTCTTAAGGAGTCCTAGCAAAGGACAGCGGTTGGGAGAGGACAGAAAGTCCTTCCTTGTAAAATGTGACTCAAACTAACAAAGAGCTCCAAGGTATCTCTCAGTGAGGCTGTGGGTTCCCTATGGAAAGAGAAGATGTAGCTAATTCTTTGCAGATGTGTGATTCTCAACTCTATCACAGTCAATGCCAGGCTTTTAACACAAATATTTTATCACTTCCCCTTTACTCAACTGAAATGAAATTCATAGAAAATATAACCTAGCTACATGCATATTTCTTAATCAACATAATTTCCCCAGAGGGATATAAAGAGAAAAAGAAAGGAATTTATAATAAAATAAAACACCGTTCAACATGTAAGTGCCCTGGTGATACGGTCTGGCTGTGTCCCCACCTAAATCTCATGTGGAACTGTAGCTCCCATAATATCCACATGTCATGGAAGGGACCTGTGGGGAGGTCACTGAATCATGGGGGTGGTCACCTCCATACTTTTCTCGTGACAGTGAGTGAGTTCTCAGGATAATCTGATGGTTTTATAAGGTGCTTCCCCCTACTTCACTCTGCGCTTCTTGCTGCCACCATGTGAAGGAAGACAAGCCTGCTTCCCCTTCTGCCATAATTGTAAGTTTCCTGAGGCATCCCCAGCCCTGCAGAACTGTGAGTCAGTTAAGCCTCTTTCCTTTATAAATTACCCAGTCTCGGGTGTTTCTTCATAGCAGCATGAGAACAGAGTAATACACCTGACATGACTAAGCTAGAAAACGTAATAATGTCATCAGAGGCTTGAACTTGGATTCAAAATCGCAGTGAACGAAGCCACAGATGAAGACTGACTACAGCTGTACTGTTCTGGGCAACTCAGACACCACAAGAGGCTCTGCCGTTGATAAGGTGATTTTCTTCAAACTGGTGAGCAACATTCAATAAATCCTGAAAAAAACTGAGGACAATCTTCCCGTGGTTTACACCATGGGAACAGTGTGGTAAAACTCAGTTTAAAACAGTAAAAATAAAAATGTATTTCTAAGTAAAATGGAATTCAGTTCTGGGCTCAAATCATTTCAAGTAGCTTTTTAACCTATGTGAACATCCAGCAAGGCATTCAAAATCACTGCCAATGCATGAAGCAGCAGCAGCAGCAGTGGTGGGCTTCGGAGGATGATCCCAGAGCTAGTCCCTCTGGCAGATGTGGATGTCCCATTTGTAGGCGACGAAATGCATGCAGAGAGAGAAGACAATCACCCGAGACCTCACAGCCAGAAAGGGCCAGAGCTGAAATAAAATTCTGTGGGATTCTAACCCCAGTGTGGTTTCCTGCCTTTCTTCTAATGTCCCTTGGCAGATCCTACAGCAGCCCAGCAAATCCAACAGTCCCCATCACAAGACTGACCCATTCTGTCTTTGAACCTGAACCTGAACTTGAAGAGGAAGCCCACCTTGACTACTGTCTATTAATAGACTGTTGGAGTGGGAGTGGATGCTATCAGACCCTTGCTTGGATCCCCTTTACTGAGCATGTGCAACTATGTTTGTTTTTTTGTTTTGTTTTGACAGAGTCTGGCTCTTGTTGCCCGATATGGAGTGCAATGGTGCCATCTCAGCTCACTGCAACCTCCACTCCCTGGGTTCAAGTGATTCTCCTGCCTCAGCCTCCCAAGTAGCTGGGATTATAAGTGCCCGCCACCACGCCCAGCTAACTTGTTGTATTTTTAGTAGAGACCATGTTGGCCAGGCTGGTCTTAATCTCCTGACTTCAGGTGATCCACCCACCTCGGCCTCCCAAAGTGTTGGGATTATAGAAATGAGCTACCACGTCCAGCCTGCCCCAGCCATTTTGAGTGGTGTCTGAAAATGGCTCACGGGCGTCCCCCTCCCCAGAGTACCGCCCTAGGCCATGAGAACTTCCTTGTCCAATAAGCTGCAACCCCCATGCTCACCCTAGGGCAGCCCATAGCCAGTGACTAGCATGGAGATGCAAATGCCAGCCCCCTGCCTCAGACTGGGACCAACTCTGGGGTACAATTCATGCTCCCAGGCTTTCTATGGGACCAGGCTGAAGTTACTCTCCTTCCTTGCTTAGCTCTTTTTTTTTCCTGACCTATTCTGCACCCTCACTCCCTTCTCCCAGGAGCAGCTTCTCAATAAGTCACATGGATAAGCCCTCTGTCAAAGGCCCTGCTTCTAGGAAACCTGACCTAATACAGGGTCAAGACAGAAACCAAGAGCCTAGTCAGGAGACTACTGCAATAGTCAGTTGAGAGATGATGATGGCTTGGACCAAAATGGCAACAGTGCAGATGGAGAGAAGGGATTGCCGACTTTAGAATATTAGTGACTGCATGAAGTGCTCTTCCTGTATACCAATGAGCTAAGTCAGGGGTCAGCAAACTACCTTCTACAAGGAGCTCTAAACCCTATTCATAGGAAGGGGCCCTTTTCCAAGTTTGTCCTTCCTTGGGTTCATTCTCTTAGCCCTAGGGAGCCATATATGCTTTTTAAAATATTCTACAGTTATTCTTTTATCATAGTTTAATAATTATTTATGTAACGTTTTCTCTGTTTAAATCGCTGTGTGGTTTCTGTCCCCTGATGGGGCCCAGGCTGCTATCCCAAGTGGGTGGAGCCCAGCAAGAAACAAACTTGATAAAGAATAAATGTAAAGTCTCCGCTTCAGCATTATAGAATGCAATTTAAAAGGCTGAGTTTGGGGATGAGAAACAGTAACTTAAGAACCAGCACAAGATCCTTTCCAGCTTTAACATCCTATTGTTTATAATCTTTCCAATCCTCCCATAAAAATGGCATATTGAAAGATCACTTACTTGGAAATCAAAGAACACAGATTCCAAGCCGGTGTCTGCAATGAACTCTCTGTCTAATCTTGAAGAAAATACTTCCCCTCCCTGAGTCTCAGTTTCCTCACCTGTCAAAGTACACAGCTACACTAGACAGCTACACTGGATGTCCCCTAAGATCCTTTCTACTGTGAATTGCCTGTGGTTAAGTGAGAGAGATGTATGAAGCAGCATTTCTTGAACTCTAAAGTGCTTAATGATGGTAACGGATTCTCCCATGAAAATCTGTGTCTATTTGACTAAGACTGGCACTCACTTTCTCTCACACTCCACACCCAATCCATCAGCATTTTCTGACAGCGCTACCTCCCAAGTAGATTCTTCATCCACTCACTTTTCTCTTCCCTATCACCCCCACCTTTACCCAAGCCCTCATTATCTCTTGGTCGGAAAATTACAATAACCTCCTTGCTGCAAACAATGTGATTTAGGCTGGGCATCTACTTTCCTTCCATGTGTCTGGAATCCTGGTGCGTGCTAAGCAGCGGGTGCCGCCCCAGTAAAAACCCTGGATGCTAGGTCTCTAAACAGCTCCTGTTTTAGTCTGCTTTGTGTTGCTATAAAGGAATACCCGAGTCTGCGTAATTTATAAAGAAAAAATATTTGGCTCATGATTCTGATGGCTGGAAGGTTCAAGATTGGACGTCTGCATCTGATGAGGGCCTCAGGCTGCTTCCTCACGGTGGAAGGTAAAGGGGAGCTGGCGTGTGCAGAGATCACATAGCGAGAGAGGAGCCAAGAGCAAGATGGGGAGGTTCCAGGCTCTTTTCAGCAACCAGCTCTCATGGGAACTAACAGAGTGAGAACTCCCTCACCCATGAGGGAGCACTTAATCTATGCATGATGGATCTGCCACCATGACTCAAACACCCCCCATTAGGCCCCACTTCCAACATTGGGGATCAAATTGCAACACGAGGTTTGGAGGGGACAAACATCCACTCCACAGCAGCTCTCCACTCGTGTTAGGTGCCCCTGCTCCCTGCCACCCCCACAGACTCAAGCTCTGCTTTCACAAATACACATCCTGATGTCACTCCCTTGCTTAAATCTCCGCAATGACCTCCTACTGTAGTGAAATAAAATCCAAACTCCTTAATGTGCCCAAGGAGGCTCTGCACGATCTGGCCCTTAGCGTTCCTTTAACATGGAGACCTTTCTTGCTCCAGACTGTTGCACTCATTGCTTCTCCCACCAGGACATGTGCTCCCCAGCACGTAACATGGCTGGATCCTCCACATCCCCAAGGTTGGCTTCCTCAGAAGCCTTCCCTGACCACCCTGGCTAAAGCAGCCTTCCACAGTCATCACTTTTTATCAAACCATTCTTCACAGCACGTATCACAATCTGAAAATGTCTTATTTATTCATTTTCCATCTCTTGCTCTCTCTCCAACCAGAATGGAAGCTCAGTGAGACCAGGACCTTCGTCTTGCTCAGTACTTTACCCCCAGCACCTAGCACAGTGC